AAAAAAAAGTATTTCTTTCCCTACACCAATTGTTACATTGTAGATGTTAACCTTATAAACAGTGATAGGATCATCTCAATCTTTTTTTTTTTTTTAAGACAGAGTCTTACTTTCTCGCCCTCGGTAGATGCCTTGGCAGCATCACACAGCTCACTACAACCTCCCAACTCCTGGGCTTAGGTGATTCTCTTACCTCAGCCTCCTGAGTAGTTGCTACTACAGTAGGGTGACCAGATTTTAACATTTGTAAAGTGGGACAACATGGCAGGGGGTTGGGGAGGGCGGGGCAGGGGACGGGATGGGGCAGGGCAGGGCCTGACAACAATGCAAACTTTGATAAGCAGTTCTCAATAATCACTTCTCAACAATTATTTGTTATTATTATAGTTTAACATTATAAAATTAACAAAAATAATATAAAACTCATATTCTGGCGAAATAGCCACATGGCAGCCGAAAACCGTATATTCCCTTCCTGTTCTCCCACCCGTTCCTGCATTCTTTCCAAAATCAAGACTTTTTAAAAATGTCGAGGGACACAGGACAAATTGTTCAAAAGCGGGACGTCTGGTCACCCTAGACTACAGGCACTTGCCACAATGCCCGGCTATTTTTTTGTTGCAGTTTGGCTGGGGCTAGGTTTGAACCCGCCACCCTCAGTATATGGGGCCGGCGCCCTACTCACTGAGCCACAGGCACTGCCCAGGATCATCTTAATCTTTTAAGAAGTTTGCCTATTTTGCCTTGGTGTTTGTAGCTCAGCAGCTAGTGCACCAGCCCATACACCAGAGCTGGCAGGTTTGAATCCAGCCCGGGCCTGCCAAACAACAGTGACAACTACAACCAAAAAAAATAAATAGCCAGGTGTTGTGGCGGCGTCTGTAATCCCAGCTACTTGGGAGGCTGAGGCAAGAGAATTGCTTGAGCTCAAGAGTTTGAGGTTGCTATGAGCTGTGACTCCACAGCACTCTACCCAGGGCAACATAGTGAAACTCTGCTTTAAAAAAAAAAAAGAAAACAACAACAAAAATCAAGTTTGCCAATTTTTATATTTAACTTTTGCCTTTTGTTCTTACTAAAAAATAATTGAGCGATTACTAATATTTGGCTCTCATTGTAATGTAAGCAGTGCAGCTAAACAAGTAATGCATCGCTTCCACAGTCCACTTCATGGTCACAACTCTCGTGTTTAGTGGTTAAGGCATCTTTATCTGTTTATTCCCTGGAAATTAAAATTGTGGATTAAAACCTGGAGGTGGTATTTAACAGTGTAATTTAAATGTCCTAAAGGAAGTAAAATTTTCTTAATAGTCAAAATTAATGGATATGATAAAATATTTCAGACTAAACCATCCTGAATTCTGCTTCAAGGTTTCTTTATTAGTAAATTAACTGCCAGCTTTCTAAGTTATCTCCTATAAGCTGGAGCTATAGCACCTTTATAGGCCAGCTGTATTCTTGGATAAATGTCTAAATGTATGTGAATGGTTGCATAAAACTAAAGATAATGTAAATACTTAAATTATATCAGATTCAAAGTCAGTTCGTCGCTGACTTTTCTTAACAGTTGGCAGCATTTGTGTTAATAGCTTCATCTCTGAGCAAACATCTCCATTGCATTGACGTTTGGTGGCTTAAGTATGGATATGTGGAAGGTTTGGGCATGTGGAACAATAGTAGAACTGTTGCCTTGGCCCCCAGAGTGCCAGGATTACAGCCACGAGCCATAGCTCCTGGCCTGAACTATTTTTTTTTTCTTTTGAAGACAGTCTCACTTTGTTGCCCTTGGTAAAGTGCCTTCGTGTGATAGCTCACAACAACCTCAGATTCCTGGGCTCAAGCAAGTCTCTTGCCTCAGCCTCCCAAGTAATTGGAACTACTGGTGCCTGCCACAACGCCCGGTTATTTTTAGAGATGGGGTCTCATTCTGGCTCAGGCTGCTCCCCAACCTGTGAGCTCAGGCAGTCCACCCACCTCTGCCTCTGAGCACGAGGATTCTGAGCCACCTCGCCTGCCTGCCTGAACGACTTATTTGTACTATGTAGTGTAATAATTAGAGACTTGAAATTCCACTCTCTGAGAATATGGGGTACTCTGATTGTACTCTTGTCACTCATTTGACTTGACATGTATTTTTAATAACTACATTTTTTGGTTCTTTTCAGGTAAATAAAAACGTCACATTTACTGCCCAGGAACTTTATGATTGTGTTTCTCAAATTGAGTATCGGTAAGTCACATCAACATATAGATACACTGTTACAATAGCTTTTACCATGTAGAGAAAGCACCACTTGAAGGTGGTGATAAAGTGCTCTTACGTCTTTTCACTGCACTATGATTTTTTTAACCTTTATTAATAAGAAATATTTCATGCATACAGGAAGGCCATATGTGTATTGGTTTAAATTGGTTCTTGAACTTTTTTAAAATTAAAAAAATTATAAAAATTTATTGAAGATTCCAAAGACCTTTTGGTTATATGGGTCACTTCTATCTATATTTAGTGGATTAGAACTTAGAACTGAAAATTGAAAAATGTTTATTAATTCATTGACTATAACTACATGTTAAAATAAATAATATATTATTGCGAAACTTTTTTCCCAAATAAAAATTATTATTGTCAAAATTGGAATTTTCTACAGAAGAAAGTTTTGTCCTCAGACCTTTACACTGCACAGGCATATGGCACACTTTTATAAACACAGGGTTTATAAACATCCTCCTCACTTGGAGGATGGGTGAGAAGCAGGGCAGGGATACAGCTCATATATGCTCAGGCTGGAAGTGGTGAGGCTTCAGGAGAGGACTGATCATGCTGAAATAAAACAAAGAAGATCCACCAATTATAATCGCATCCCTGTGCATTACGGCCCAATGACTTATTGTTTGGCACAATTTGGAAGCTCTCAAAGCTGTTTGTGGTCAAACAAACAAATATTATATTTGAGGTAAAGAAAAATAGAGCTTTACCCATTTCTAGGTGAATCCCCCCTCTTTTGTCTGTTACAGTTGGGGGAGAATATGTTTCTTAACCTAATTTTCAGACTATCAGTGAAGCAATTGTACTCTTACATATAGGTCTCTACAGATAATCCATGTTTAAAGGTTTACATGAGGGCAGTGCCTGTGGCTCAGTGGGTAGGGCGCTGGCCCCAGATACTCAGGGTGGTGGGTTCCAACCTGGCCCTGGCCAAACTGTAATACAAAAATAGCTTGGGGTTGTGGCGGGCGCCTGTAGTCCCAGCTACTCAGGAAGCTGAGGCAAGAGAACTAAGCCCAGGAGTTGCAGGTTGCTGTGAGCTATGATTCCATGACACTCTACCGAGGGCAATAAAGTAAGACTCTAACTCTTAAAAAAAAAAAAAAGTTTATGTGAGATTTGTATGAAAAATAATAACATTTTCCGACCTTAGTCATAGTTTTGAAAATGTGAAATGCTCACTGTATATAACTTGGAGGCAAAAGTCTCTTGAAAGGTGGTCTTAGCCAGATGTCTAGAATTATTTTGACTTCAATTTGCCTTTGAAAGTTTTTTTTCAGGGAGAGAGGAGGAAGATTTAGGGGTGAAGTTAAATATTCATATTTAAAGTAGTTGTACCTATTCTTTTTGTTTAATTAATAAGCAATCTCTCATACCCAAAAGAGTGATTTTGAGGCCTGGTGGCTCTCACCTGTAATCCTATCATTCTGGGAGGCTGAGGCAGGTGGATTGCCATGAGCTTATAAGTTCAAGGCCAGCCTGAGCCAGAGCAAGGCCCCGTCTCTAAAATTAGCTGGGCATTGTGGCTGCGCCTATAGACCCAGCTACTTGGGAGGCTGAGGCAAGAGGATTGCTTGAGCCCAAGAGTTTGAGGTTGCTGTGAGCTATGAAGCCAAAACCAAGACTCTGTCCACCCCCCCCAAAAAAAGTGATTTTGAGGAGAAATCAAATATAGTATTTAGTATCGAGTGCCTTGAAAATGATTACTACTCTGCAAGCTTTCTGTTAATAACATTTAAATTTGTTACTTCATTGTTTCTTGTGAAATTATTTGCCAATATAGCGTGAACACTGTCTTCCATATGGGTCTTTGGTGTGTTCCTTACCTCACAATTTTCAAATATGCTGCTGAAGGAGAGAGGAGTGGTTTCGCTGGTTCCGGTTAGACACAGCCAATTGCTGTAGATGAAAGATGGTACAGTTTCTCGGGAGTCAGAGAGGAAGACAGAAGCGTAATGTAACGAGCGCATAAGCAGTAGCTAAGCTCCCTATGGAAATGTTAAAACAGTGAACTTTAATTATCTGAATCTTCTAATCTTTGTTTTTTATTTAAGAGGAAAGTGTCAATGTGCCACATCATATTTATTGCAGTGGGGAGATGTGAAATAGTATGTGTGTGTGTATATATGTGTCTGTCCCTGGTTCCTGAGACAGTATTCTTTTTTTTTTTTTTTTTTTTTTTTTGAGACAGAGCCTCAAGCTGTCCCCCTGGGCAGAGTGCCGTGGCATTACAGCTCACAGCAACCTCCAACTCCTGGGCTCAAGCGAGTCTCCTGCCTCAGCCTCCCAAGTAGCTGGGACCACAGGTGCCCGCCACAACGCCCGACTATTTTTTGGTTGCAGCCATCATTGTTGTTTGGCGGGTCTGGGCTGGGGATTTGAACCCGCCACCTTAGGTGTACGTGGCTGGCGCCTTAGCCGGTTGAGCTATAGGCGCCGAGCCCTGAGACAGTATTCTTAGGACCCTTATAGATAGGGTTGTTGGGAAAATCTTTTCTCCTGGTATTTGGTCTTTGACCTGAGTTTCTGAGACAGACCTCCTAAATCCATTGGGATTTCCAAGGAGATAGGAACATCTCTGGTCTAATGAGGTAACTCTCGGTGGGCTCTTGGGTGGGGGCTGCTCACCAGAAGTACCAAGCAAGCCGTGATTAGAAGCTTGGTACTTCCAGCTCTCTCCTATCCTCTAGGAAGGGAAGAGAGGGGTAGGAGATTGAGTTAAAAATTAGTCACACAGTACTGGAGATGCCAGTCCGAAACACTGGGAGTCCAAAGTCTGCAGCAAAGACCCGCCACGCTTTCTTCCTTCATACTACATATTTCACAAAATTTGCTCCTCAGACCTGTGAAAATACCTTCCGGCTGCAGCAGGCAGCAAGATGGCCGTTTGTTGCTATTAATTATGCTGCCATTGGGGCAGAATGTAAGATGCTTTTAAATTCTTAACAGTATATGTTGTGCTTCTAACCATTTTCACACTTTCTCTCCCTTTTTGTTTGTTTGCAATAAAAATTAAGTTTTCTATACAGAAAATAATAATAATTAGTCATACATACATGATGAAGCCTCCATGAAAATCCCTGAACTGTGAGTTCGGAGAATTTCTGGGTTGCTGGGTCCTGGGAGGTGCCTGGAGAGTGGCACATCTGGAGAGGGCACAAGAAGCTTTGACCCCATTCCAGTGTGTCTTGCTCTATACATCTCCTCACCTGTATCTTTTGTAATATTCTTTATTAATTATTAATGGGTAAACAGGCCGGCTGCAGTGGCTCACGCCTGTAATCCTAGCACTCCAGGAGGACAAGGCAGGTTGATTACTTGAGCTCAGGAGTGCGAAACCCGCCTGAGCAAGAATGAGACTCCGTCTCTACCAAAAATTTTTTAAAAAGTTGGGTGTTGTGGTGGGCGCCTGTAGTCCCAGCTACTTGGAAGACTGAGGCAAGAGAATCACTTAAGCCCAAGAGTTTGAGGCTGTGAGCTATGATACCATGGCACTCTGCTGGGGGTGTGAAAATGAGACTGTCTCAAAATAAATAAGTAGATAGATGGATGGATTGATAGATAGGTAGACATAAGTAAAGTGTTTTCCTGAGTCCCATGAGCCATTTTAGCAAATTAATCAAACTTGGCTCTTGCCAGTAGAGTGTATAAACACTGCTCTCCCTGAGTAGAGGAAGAGTTTGCTCAGAAAATCTAGGACAATAAATTAACAAGATCATCATACGGATTTTCAAATAAATCTCTTGGGTGGTATCTTCTATTTATATGAGAAATTTGCTAGAAACAGAATTTGCTTGAAAAAGTATTCTGGTGTATTTGCTAGGTAAGTCTTTAAGAGTCATTTTTTCTACATGAAATGTAAACTAGTTTGTGACATTACCCTTAAAGTGCCTGACTCTGTGCAACAGGTACCAAACTAAATTGTTTTTCCTGGGCTGGTGTGGTGCCTCACATCTGTAATCCTGGCACTGTGGTAGGCCAAGGCAGGTGGATTGCTTGAGCTCAGAAGTTAGGGACCAGCCTGAGTAAAAGTGAGACCCCGTCTCTAAAAACTAGCCAGGCCTTGTGGTGAGCACCTGTAGTCCCAGCTACTCAGAAGGCTATGGCAAGAGGCTCACTTGAGCCCAAGAGATTGAGTTTGCTGTGAGCTATGATGCCACCACACTCTATGCAGGGCAACAGAGTGAGACTCTGTCTCCAAAAAGAAAATAAAACACAAAAACAAAGTAAAATTAATAGTGAACTATTTTAAGGTGTACAGGGCAGTGGCATTTAGTGCATTCACTTTGTTGTGCAGTCATCCAGGATCCTTTCATCACCTCTGCACTCTTCCCGTTCCACCCCAGACCTAGGAGCCTCTGGTCTAGTTTATGTCTTTATGGATTTACCTCTTCTAGATGTTCCATGTAAATGAAATCATATGTGATGTCTGGCTTCTTCTATTTAGCATAATGATTTCTGAGGTTCATCCACACTGTGGGATTTACTACCATGTTTCCCCCAAAATAAGACACTGTCTTATATTTATTTTTTTCTCAAGAAGACACACTAGGGCTTATTTGCAGGGAATGTCTTATTTTTATTAAGTATAATACAACAATCTACATTTGTTGAAATATAGTTAAGTCATCTTCTTCTGGAATCTGATGGGGGGAGCTGACCTTGTTGGTGGGGCTGGTGCCAGTGATCTGTGAACTCCTTTCCCCTAGCCGTTCGCATGTGCGCAATAGGATGCCTGCTACCCCGGTTATCACATTCGCACCTAGGCAAGTGCGAACGGCTCAGAGAAAGGAGCTGTGGCAGATAAAAGGTATTCCAGTCTTCCTTATGCTGCATAGCTGTGCCCATCACTAGGTCTTATTATCAGGGTAGGGTTTATATTTAACAAATGCATAGAAATCCTGCTGGGCTTATTTTCGGGGAAACACAGTAGTACTTCATTCCTTTAGTGTCTGAATAACATT